AGTTCCGCTGACGAAGAACAATCGAAAGGACCAATGAAATTCCACCAGCTAACTCAAAAACCAATCGAATGGGGGCTCCGCCCCCAAACCCCCGTGACGCGCTTCGTGCGTGCGCGCTACGCGCGGGGTCGCTTTGCTCCCGGTAGTTAGCTTAATTCGGAATTCATCCCTTCGGATTCACACCTCCTTCGTTCGTGTGTTCTTCCGGCGGTACCCCCCCACTCATCCCCCGAAACCCCGAATTCACCCCTTCGGACCAACGTCCGACTTGTTTTTGGTGTTCACCACGGTGCCTTCCACCCCGAAACCCAGGGACGGGCAAGACATCACTTTTGAAGTTTGTGTACGAAGACTACTACAAGAAGAACCTCGACAACAAGTACTGGGTCCTCTACAACGAAGACGTGCACACACATGTCATGCTGGAAGACTTGGATTCTACTGTGCTGGACAAGCTTGGTGCCCAATCTATCACGACTATTTGCGACGAAGCCGGATTCGCCATCGACCAGAAGTACTAGAGTCCTCAGCTCACGCGAGCCACGATACTGGTCACCTCAAATCAAGACATCGATCAACTCATCACCCTGTGCGACGAATGCAAGCTTGTCGAGTCCACCCGTGCAGCACTCAAGCGGCGATTTTATCAATTGCGGGTCGATCAGCTACAACAGCTCCTGGGTGTCAAACTCATCAACGAATACGAACGCAAGCAACTCAAATGATGATGATTTTAAATCTTTCATCCTTTCCTTATACACTCGACTCCAGTATAGAGGTTACCGTAGCACACTCTTGAAACCGCTCTTTGCAAAAGCACTTCAAGCACGGTGTGCCCCTCGACTTTCCCCATCTCAACTCTTCTTTAAGGTCCCTTATGATCCCAACGGACCAAACAACCATGAGTTGAAGGAGATAATTCGAGCTAAACAATTTGAACCAGCAATGCGAGTGTTGGAAATTGATAAAATTACAATTTGTCACTTAAAACCTCGGACATTGAAACAAAGGCTATGTCCTACGAAACTTCGTCTGGACATATCCCCCACACCTGCTGATCTCATACACAGTACAGGTGTGGGGGAGGAAACCCCAAAACCCCTTTCCCGCCTTAACATAAACTGGTTTGAATTTTACTGAGACTCGTACATTATGTACAGTCAACACGTATGGAAAGGTTGTATGTACGGTGTACCAGCCTGTACGGGCCAGTACATCTAGATAAGGACATTTGACCTTATAGTCAGGTGCTACACCAACACATCTGATACATCAACCCACTCCAAGTAATGACCTTGGCCATTACAAATCTTGCCCTATCCGACGACTGCTGTATGAGCCAATCAGATCGCGCACAGCACTCTGACGACAGCTTGCCCGTGCTATTCTATCACCTTTAACAAGGAAAGTAGTAATAAAGTATAGTGTAGAGAAGGTGTCCGCTGAAGAAGATATCGAAAGGACCAATGAAATTCATCAAGCCAACTCAACCGCCAATCGAATGGGGGCTCCGCCCCCAAACCCCGGTGACGCGCTGCGCGCGCAGCGCGGGGTCGCTTCGCTCCCGGTAGTTAGCTTAATTCGGAATTCATCCCTTCGGATTCACACCTCCTTCGTTCGTGTGTTCTTCCGGCGCTGCCCCCCTCTCATCCCCCGAAACCCCGAAAAATGGCGTTTCGTGCGGCCAGGGCAAAGGTTAGTTGACCTATTATTTCTCCGCGATTATAGCCAAGGCGAACGAGTAATCGCCGAACGTTTCGACATGCAGACAGGACAGCTCGGGGGTTGGACGCATCGGGTGTCAAAATTTGATGCTCTTGTAATAGAGCCAACACGTCTGTTGCAAAGTTCGTGTGCGGGAAAGTCGTCGATCGCGCACAAACGTTTGAATGAGCGTAGTTACTTTCTTTGTGAGCGGCACGCGCGTAGCATGATTGGTTTTGTTGGAAGGTGACCGTGCATACAGTTGATGTAGCTTTAATTGTCGCCACACATCCTTGACCACTTTCAGGCTGCGGCCAAGTATTTGAGCGATGTGACCGGAAGCGTCTTCCATCCTCTCAAGCCGAAAGTGTGCGTGAAGACGTAGAATATCAACACGCTCTTCTTTAGTTCGGCTACGCTGTCACCCCTTCTTGAGAAAGCAGTTGATGGTGTCGAACTCCTCCTTGGTGATGGCTGGTGTTGGACATCCCATTGTTGTTTGTCAACTTGAATCGAGAATGACAGGATAGGAGCCACGGACATAAAACACGCAACCTTGTCGAATATTGTATGCCTCAGAACGCCTTCAATAATCACAAATAGAAGGAAATAGAAACATACGATGCATATGGACATTCATTCACAACTTTGTAGTAGAATATTTTGCAAGGCATTGTGTTTCAGGATCATTTGATTGCACGGTTCGAACCCACGCGCGATGCAGATTCGATTCACGTATTCCAAGTCTATCGTAGCATATTTTTTTCACATGAAGGAGTAAAAGTCCCCTCGATGACGCCCGCCACTGGCAATGCGAATGACGATCGTGCTTACCGTCAAGGGCGATGGAACCAAGCTCCCGATTCTCTTCATCATCCGCGGCACACCTGGCGACCGCATTGATGTCCATGAGCTGCCTCAGTACCCTGAAGGTAAGTGTGCTATATTGGCCTGAAACCGTGCCTCACCTGAGGAAATTCGCAGGAGCTTCGCAAAAGCCATACCTGTGCCCACCTTCGGTGTTGAGCTTCAGCCAGTCAATTTGTAATGAATATATGCGTATACAAGGTTGAAGTGATTCGTATGTGTTTTTTGTATCATGATTTGTTCAAGTTTAGTCGCAATATTTCAAATTTAAACCCACCTTTAGTTTATTCAAGTATAGTTCGAAATTTTTATCAACTGCATATGTTTTGACATGGAATGGGGCTTGAACCCCGGCCCCGTTCCTCAATCGACTTGGATGCCGTCGCGCTAACCGTTGCGCCACCGCGTCGAACGATTATCTTTGAAATGTGCCCATCGTATTGCTGAGCAAATAAACACATGTAAGAACACTGTGAGACCAAATAGTGTCCAAAAAGCGATCGTTCCAAGTTTGATTACATGCAATTTTTGTTTCTCTTCAGTTTCCAAAAAATATTCCGCATAATATATCCTCTGACAAAGCACCACTCATTCGATTGGCTAAATTTACTAACGAATTTCGAAGTTAATCACCCAATAAAATGCATTCAAATCAGATTTGCTCGAAGAACAAGTAGGCGGACCATTCCGTCGCTCACTGTAATTTCGGCTGACGCGACTCTATTTCACTTGTCTGCATCAAATGGGATTACCGTCCACCTGGAGAAGAGTGTTCCAACGAGTGCCTTGTGCCCTCGTTCAAAAGTAGCTTACAAAGCATTATTGTGTGGGGAGCTATTGGCTGGAAAGGCACTGGTTCATATTGAAGGAAAAGTTAATTCGATCGTGATCTTGTCGTGTATCTTGACCATTGGATGTGTAATTGGCCAAAAAAATTTCCGGCTGGACCTGCCCATCAACTTCATATGCGCCAATTTACACTGCAAAGGTGATCGACGCATTTTTTCGACGAAAATGCTATTGAAAAAATGGATATCTCCCCTGATCTGAACCCAATCGAGCATATGTGGGAGTATACTAAGCGGAGGATTCGTTCTAATCCTCCATCTTCGCTTGATGGCTTGCGTGATCGTGTGCAGGACCTGTAACGAAGTACCCGCCAATTACAATCAAACGTTGATCTCTAGCATGTCCAAGCGATTGAGCATGGTCATTGACAACAAGGGTGGTGCAACAAAGCACTAATCTTTGAATAATACAAAGTGTATGGTCGGTTTTGTGGAATCGTATGAATACTTTTGGCTCGTGATTTTAATGGTGATGAATTTCAAATTGTTATATCTCCTACAAAATTGCTCAAATCGTGCCAAGGCAACTTCACATGACATCTAGAATTGAGGAGGCGCAGCTTGCGATTGCCCATTTTGAAAACGACTGAGTCAATCGAAGCATATACTAGAACCCACAAGATCATTATCTGTACCGTATGAAAGCGTTTGACACTCACTGTACATGGTCTGATAGAATAGTTCAGACACGTGCGCGACAAAGTTGTCAAAGAGGACAGTCAAAGGCTTCTCTATGACACGACGAAGGTTGGACGCCCAAACTCTTCCATCCATCCACACCCGTCATGAACCGTTTAGTAGTGATAGCTTGGAAACGTCAGGAATTCCGTCTTCTCGATCCTATCTCACGGAACGCCATTCAGGTGAAGATGATCAGCAGCTTCGTGACGTCGGAGCGAGAGGTACGAACAGCAGTCATTCGCATGAAGTGCATTTCTCCGGAGGATATCTTGGGGCTTCCTTCGCGTACAGACCAGATATATCTCGGTGGAGTATTGTAGTATATTCCAATCTCATCTGCATTGTCGATGCAATCGTTCCCGTACGCCCGGAACTTGCGATAGAAGTCTGAGCAACTTCGTCACGAACGGGAGACAGGACGGTTTCCTTGATCTTTTGATTGCCGGACGTTGGCGGGAGAAGCCATGCCGGTCGCGTAAACGATGAGGGAGGTTGAGGAGGGAACTAGAGGCGGTGTTGGGCCTTTTGCAGCCAAGTAGCGTAGAAGGCAGTCACGTTGATTAGCATTGATCCCGGTTATCATGTGTGTGGTTATGAGGGCTCGCTCGTTGTCTCTGACGATGTTGACGAACTCGATTAAGCCAGGAGGGTCGGGAACTCGGCTGTAGCTTCTTCATGATTTTGTTGCCGTCGAAGGTTACATTTCGTGGTGCTGTAGGTACTATGATCGGACTGTTCTGCGTGAAACTCCAAGGCGACTGTATAGTCGGACATAGACTCGAGCAGTCCCAGTGCTTTCAACTTTGTGTTGGCATGAATTTAACCTCGTGTCTTGAAGTGCCATTGGAATTGTTTTGTCGACGTACTTTAGCAGGAAGGATCTTAATTCCGCCAATAGATGGTCGACTATTTGATGTTTGAATGATATTAGATATATATATGGGTAAAATAATTATCTCAGGTAGGCGTTAGATACCGTACTTCCCTGTAGCGGCACATTGCAGGAAATCTTCCACCACCTGGTCGAAGTACTCTCTTGAATTCTTCATTGACACATCTTGCCACTGAAGCAGTTCGGTTACTTTGTCCACGTTTCGCGAGTCTTCGAGAGCAATCAACAGTGTAATGGCGGCCTTGGACAAGGTCAACGCGCAGCGTAGATGAGGATCAGCGTGTCGTACTCTGCAGTTTTGGTTAAAAAATCTTTGGTACCCTGAGTCGACGAAGCATAACAGCACTGTTGAGCAATGTCAATGCCACCACCACGTCTTGAACCTTCTGTAGAGCATGGTGGTAATGGATCATTGTATGAGCTTCGACAGCAAAGTTAAGGCGTCGACTGGCACAACACACAAGAGGAACAAACACATCGCGGGCGAGCTTGCGATTGACGGAACAGTTGTAGGTACCAGAAATGGATGTCTGCAGTTCCACGATCGAAAAGCCCAGGATAGTTTTCATGTACTCCGAATGTTGTTGAGCACCGTGCATGACAACAGTGTCCGAGAATTCTTCTAGAAACGCTTCATCCGACACCACCAACGGGGACACAGACGGCAACACTTGTTGAAGAACGCCAAGTCGCATGTAAAGAGCAAACATGGATACATAATGCTCGTTCTTCAGGGTCCAGCCGTCGAACATGATACCAAAGATTCCTGTCAGCTCCACTGCAATTGCCTCTTGGACTTTCAACGACTCTCCCTGTATGAATTATATGAGCCTCTCGGAACTTGGATCGTTGTAGCTGATGTTCGCTGCAGTCTTTGGTTTCTAGAAAACTTGAGTGGGATGTTGCCTTCAATCACCTAATTCATCGCCTTGAATATTTCTTGGCTGCGCGCCATCTGGATGGATTCATTTCAGTCTCCACAGCACCATCGCGTCATGCCATCTTGCGTGCTTGATTTTAAAATGCGTGGACAAATTGGTCGGACCAGCTGTCTTCTGGACACGTACAGTTGCGTTGCATGCTTGACAGACGAGACTTTTGTACCCGATACCACTTTTAATTGTAAATCCAAGGTCCTTGACAAAACAAGTATGTGCGTCCTTGGCCTTTGAATTCTGTGTTCTCGTCGGCGGCATGATTAGGGATTGTTTGGTGTGCGTGGTTGTGGGCATTCTTAAGGAAATGAAGTGCAGGGATACATGTGCGATATTGAGTCGACTTAGCTATAGACATCCGTTTGACACTTTTAGAATTAACAATGAAGTCATGCAAAGCTAGGATCATGTGGATGCCCTTCTCCTTTGGATCATATTTACTACATATTGGTAGTGCTACGATGTCGATAAATATCGGCATCACATTCTCTCGAATTTTCGAAACTCCTTGTGTTTTTCTTGCAATAATTAAGAAATAACAATACTCGAAGATTGCGGTCGCGTATTGCGGCCTGCGAGACGCGACTACGACGTTCAAGGTTTTCTGTTGGCGCGAGGGGTGGACGAGTGTAAGCAGTGAAGCCGAAGAAGCAGGTTCAAGAGTAATTCATTGGTGGTTATCCCTCTAGTCTCTGTGTTGATATGAATGGCTCACATAGCTCTCTGTGGCCTGCAACCCGTCATTCTGTGTTCATGTAATACCTAAAGCAGATGTCTTCCTTTGGGCTCCGCTTGACACGTATGTGGTTCAAGATGTCGCTCTAAGCGAGCAACATTCTCAACATTTTCGAAGTGCTTGTAAAAGACCATGCGCAGGGAAAGAATTCGACCGGTCTGAGCACGTCGACGTTCTTTTGTTCCCCGAGCTGTTCAAGAGCGGAGCGAAGCCGATTCGTCGCAGCTTTAACGA